GATTTTGGAAACCTTAACGAATGGAAATAGTAACACTTATGCAGATAGTCACCCTCATGGCCACCCTCAGTATTGGATTTACAAACTCCCTTCTGCATGATATATTATTTGTATATTTTTAATAAGTAGACTTTTAAACACAATATGACAGATCTTCTTCTATGTAAATGTTTCAGGTAATATGATACGTATGAATATTGACGCAACGTATACGTTTACTCCGTATCATAATGAAATGATATCCGATTTTGGAATCCTTGACGAATGGAAACATATGTGAACTGAGATTACAAACACTAGGGTTTGAAAATTTTACATAGGGGAGAGGGGGGCACCTTTGAACGTGGGGCACCTTTGAACAGCGCTCATAAAATCTTGGTTTAATATTTTTCCGACCTGCAACCACATTTTTGTATATGGCAATCTTGTTCTCTATATGCGTAAACCACTTTGGCTTGCTTTTTCAGTTGTTGAAAATTTGTGCATGGGTGACCATGTTTTCTCAGTGTGATTGTAAACTTTTATTCATTTGGTTGTAAGGGCGCAGGAAGAATTATGTGATAGTTTTCCTTCGTCAAACAAATTTTTTGCATTCCAACAATCATTTCAAACATAACTTATGTATTTTCTTTCATATATATTTATTACAAAAAAAGTTATTTTAAATTTCCGTAAAATGCCATGGGTGGGGCACCTTTGAACATGCCCATTAAACTCGAGTAAAAACAGAAGTTTTTAACTTTTGGCTTCGATTTCTCAAAATTTCAAATCGGTTAATAAGATTACGAAATTAACGTTATTTTTCACCATATTAATTTTTGTTTTTAAGTCATTTTATGTTTTAATAACTTTTGATCTAAATTTTTAAAATTTTGAAAATTTTTTATATATTTTTTAATGAATTAATGCATTTCTGATATGTATTAATAAAATACATACATATTTGAACAAAAACACTGTAAAAAACCATGTCGTTCAAAAATGTCAAGCCTTGTTCAAAGGTGCCCCCCTGGGGGGGCAGTTTTGAACACTTTGAGTTCGTCCATTAAAACAGTAATGAAATATATATATCAAGCTTATAGTATGTCATATGTATATTCATTTTAAAGGTTACATATGTACCTATTAGTTAAAATTTATAAGAAACTAAAAATTATAAAATAAAAAATTTTATAAGGCTTGAAAGCAAAAAGTGTTCAAAGGTGCCCCCCTCTCCCCTACCGAAAAATAGATGCGACATGTATATGAGTGGCTTTGACAGTATACATATTAAATATTTTTAGAATACCTGTAGGGAAATATTAAATTTCAGTCGCTCCTGTTGGAGAATGGGAATTTTAAATCCACCAATGACGAAGCTGAAAAAAGCGAACGACGAAAGAGAAAAAACTGGACGGGAATTGTTTATCCGGGTTATATCAAAGCCCATATTGAAAATGTTCTTGAAATATGTATTTATCCCTTCAGGAACCCAGCGCTTTTGTGTTTGAAGATGCGACTTAAACATTCAAAATACCCTTATACGAGGCTATTCTCACTACGTGTGCCTATATACCCCATTTTCAATTACAAAAATTCCAAAGACCGATATATCAACATGGCTTAATCTACTCGATAGACCTTCGATGAATATTTCAATTTTAAATCTCCTCTCATTTATCTCTGTTAGTCCTTAAATTTTATAAATACTCAAGCAAGAATAAGGTGGGATAATTTTGATAATTTAGTATGCATTCAGGCACGGATAATATAGGTTTAAATGACTGGGGATCTTAAAAAGTTATTATGTGAAGGAATGAAAGCATTCAACTATCTTAATAAGTACTCAAACAAGGATACAAACCGACCATTCCACAAAATACTATAACAAGTTCTCCATATGAGATCGAATAGGATTATTTTGAATGATAGCTCAATATGTATCCCATCAAGATTAGGAGGAGATTCAAGAGCAATAAACCTCAACAGGTTCACAAGGGTATATTCTGAAATGATTTCATACAGTTAAGACCTCACAGGTATCAAGGATTGCTGTGAATATAAATCCTTCTGTAAATACATCATTCATATATCTTCCGTCTGTAAAAAAAAAACAGTAAGGAAAGTAGTAAAGTCGGAGGGCGGGCTATATGATATTCATTTTTATATTCAACAGCTGGAATCCTAACAGACGTCGCATTTTTCAAGGACCGTAACATGAAATTAAACATATCATTCTGCATTTATGTAAATAAATTTAAAGCAAAATATAAATAAATTTAAACAAAATTTCATCTAAACTTTTCACATACATTTTACGTTGCATTTATTTCAGTATGTTTTGTGCATTCGGTAATTTTTTATAAATCCAAATTTCGTGCAAATTGAAAGATATTTGAGGACTTTGGTGTACCATTTACCTTAAATCGGACGAAAATATACATGGGAGCACTATCTACATCTGATCAGATTTTCACGAAATTTAACACACATTGTTCTAGATCTAATTCAGAACGCTATGCCAAATTTCGTGTAAATCGAGGGATATATAGGGACTTTGGTACAACATTTACCTAAAATCGGACAAGAATATATATGGGAGCTATATCTAAATCTGAACCGATTTTTCCCAATTTCAATGGGGTTCCTCCTTAGGCCAAATAGAAGAGCTGTGCCAAATTTAACATGGACAGACAGACGGACGGACATGCATAAATCGACTTAGAAAGTGATTCTATGCATATTTTCAAAAGGAACCATGTGTCTATCTCATTTCCTTTCGCTTTTACAAACATATGCACAAAGACATAACACCCTGTACCACAGTGTGGTGAAGGGTATAACAAACAAAACAAGTTTTCGGTCCACTTCATCCCGAATTGTTATCTGATAATCACCGAAAATTATAGGCGTTGTCCTTGACCATAACTGGAACCCCATGGAAAAGCGATTTCCGCCCTCTAATGTGGTAATGGGTTAGTAAATAATGTCTGAATACATAAGCACCTGTAAATATTTACGTGTAACTCCCACATCGGAGTACATACCACAATATGATTGCTATCAATTTAAAGGCCAACTACTCCTCTCGGATATACTATAAACTTCTCGGCTCTACGTCCTTCAGAAGTAAATATATACGCCATAGAATACAAATCTTGTAATTTTTCATACAAAAGTCAGGGTCTATTTGACCCGCTAAATATTGACCGATCTTTATCAAAACAGGTATGCTTATTCTTTCGCTCAATCCCCTTCTCCATGTAAAAATTCGAGATGATTGCGGCTTCTGGAGCGACCAGAAAAACCGACAAAAATTAAGTATTTGGTACATTTCATCCCCTATATATTATCCGATTTTTACCGAAAACAATAGGGGTCTTCATTAGGCTGAACCCATCCTACGTGCAAAATATCGTGAAAATTGGTCCATAATTGTGTCCTTTATCGTGTTTACGGACCGACACACATGTCTAGATCGACTCAGCTAGTCGAGATATGACGATCGGTAGACTTAAAGGTGAATCTAGGACCAATATTTCACGGCGTTACAAACTCTTGGGGCTGCACAAAGTTATAATACCCTGACAACATAGTTGTGTAGGGTATAAATAGAATTATGTGAATATCTCATCTAAGATTTTTGGTAGAAAATTGACCTCCATAATAACTGCTTCTGTTGGAGAACTTGTATTATATATGCCATTTTTTCGATTGAAAAGAAAATCAACAATGACAGGTGTTGGAAAATTGGACCGATGAAATACCTAAAACTAACTAGGCGGGATGTTTATATGCGGGCTCGATTTGAGGTAGATTAGGATTACAAGGAGATTTCAGAGCCAAAGACCTTAATAGGTAGAAACGGATATATACTCAGAAATAATTTCATATATTGAAAACCTTTCAGGTTTCAAGGATTTCTGGGGATAGAAATAAAAAAAAATAAATTATGCATATCCAAAATTTTTGGTAGAAAATATATCTCCAATACGACAGCGCTTAACAACCCCTGTCCTACGACCAATGCCACATAAATTGTAGGGTATCAAATACACATACACACGCACACATCTGATAACATTTGTATGAGAAAACGATTGCCTCCGTCAAATGATGACGATACGAAATGGACGATTGGGCGAATTTGACACGACGAAGAACAGTACTTCTTGAACTCTGACTATGTTCAAAACGATCCCCACAAGTTAGTTGTCGGCGAAATTGTGGCAGGAACAGTCAATCGGTTGGTGCGAAAAACAAAAACAAACAAAACAAATTCGAAGGCATTTATAGTGGCTGCCGTTTAAGGAATTTAAGTGTCATTAAACGATAAACCCATCACAACAAAATAAATGTGCGAACACACCTAAAGGATAAATAGTTACAGCAACAACGACAACAACAAAACAAACAAACAGAAAATGGAAAATATTCTGTAGTTTCAAAAGGATTTGAATATTTTTCCCAAACAATAGCGTCATCAGTGGGTGCGCAAAAACGTTATTTATTCAAATTGATGTGTGTGTGAATGTGTGTCCTATGGAATGTGTGTCCAAAGGATACTTGTCGAGAAATGAAGGATTAATAATTTATTCAAACATTGTTGATATCATTAAGTAGTAGGTTGCATGCAACAGTTCGCACAAAAAAATATATACAATATGTGAAAATTTAAAATTGTTAACAGGAAAATTTTGTTAAAAAACAAAACAGCAAAAAAAAATTGGAAAATTAGAAGAAAAAAGGAAGAAGAGGAGAAAAAAATGAATTGATGAAATGTTAAGAAATTAAAAACAGCAATGGAATTGAATTAATTTAAAAACCACAGACGAAAAAAAAATTAAACCAAATATCTACTTGTTTTTTAATGCTTTGCTTTTTTCCTGTTGTTTTTGTTCGGCAAATTTGTTCATTAGCCCATTTTAAAGTAAACAAATACCCAACCAAAAGAAAAAATAAATAAATAAATATTTTCTCGAAATCAACAACAAATCAATTCCAAAAATATCGAACACAACATGCTAATGTTCCTGCTGCTGTTCATTGCGACTCCATGGTGTGTGGGCGCCCAGTACCCTTGTGCTTTTATGGACACAGTTAATATAACCGGCAGCTACCCCCATGAGACCCATTTGGCTATCAACGGCGATGAGGTGGTCTCGAACCACAGTTACATTTACAAGTGGATGGTTGTGCCACCGGATTTAGTGGCCATCTATGACTTCATCATGGTAAATGGACAGCGTGTGAATACGGCCCGGCATTTACGTGCTTGTGTGTGTAAACTGAAACCCTGCATACGATTCTGTTGCAATCCTGGGTTTTATTATAATGTACAGGATAACTCCTGCCAATCACTGCCGAACATAAATGACACAACGAATATCGATCGTGAAGCAATGCCGGTACGTTTTCAAAATGGCTCAACAATAGCGGTAAATTCTAGTACACATTTTCTCGTCAATATTGGTGCACCCTGTGAAAATATGACGTTAGTTTTAAAGGACAACAACAAAGTCAATTGGTTGTTGCATGAAAATGGTTCGATAATTCACAAGCAACGTTATTTCTCGAAACATTATTGTTATACGCCGTTGGCTTCACACAAGGATAAGGATGATGAGAATTTCATTTGGCACTGGGAACCGCTAACATGTGTTCCCGATCGATTTCCATTTGTATTGGGTGTACGTGAATGGACTTATGCTATATGTAAGTATATTCGGAGGATGATATTTTGAATTGAAATTAAATATAGCAATATTTATTCACTACACAACGATGTTGTCAGGGTATTAAAGCTTTGTGCAGCCCCATGAGTTCGTAACGCCTCAAAATATTGGTCCTAGACCCACCTTTAAGCATACCGATCGTTATATCTCGACTAGCTGAGTCGATCTAGACATGTGTGTCCCTCCGTCCGTCTGTTCATTATAAACACGATACAGGCCAATGTAGGAAATTTTGCATGTAGTATGGGTTCTGATGAGTTCGTAACGCCTCAAAATATTGGTCCTAGACCCACCTTTAAGTATACCGATCGTTATATCTCGACTAGCTGAGTCGATCTAGACATGTGTGTCCCTCCGTCCGTCTGTCCATTATAAACACGATACAGGCCAATGTAGGAACTTTTGCATGTAGTATGGGTTCTGGTCAATTGCTTTTCGTAAAGATCGGTTAATATATAGGGGATGGAATGGACCAAATGCTGAATTTTTGTCGGTTTTTCTGGTCGCTCCAAAGGCCGCAATTATGGCTCGAACATCGCGAAATTTTTCATAGAGAAGGACCAAAGAGTAAGCATGCTTGTTTTAAAAAAGATCGGTCAATATTTAGCGGTTCAAATGTACATTGACTTTTGTGTGAGAAATTAGAAAATTTGTATTTTATGGCGCATATATATTTACCCCTGAAGGACATAGGCTCAAAAAGTTTAAAGTATATTCAAGAGGAGTGGTTGACCTTTAAATTGAGACCAATTATATTGTCGTACTCGGATATGGGAGTTACACTTAAATATTTACAGGTGCTTACGTATGCAGATAATATTTTGTAACCCCTTACGATGAGGTTTCAGTTATGGTCAAGGACAACGACTATAGTTTTCGGTGAAGATCAGAAAATTGTTTTGGGATGAAATGGACCGAAAACTTAATTTTTTGTGTGTTTTCGAGTCGATCTATAGGCCACAATTATAAACCGAACATCACAACACAACTCACGGTGAAGGGAATCTGGACAAGTATAGAAGGGCTGTACTGAATACTAGTAATATTCGGAAAATATGTCAGTATAGGGCAGAGGTGCTGTAGACCTCTAATCGCGCAAGATGGAGTAAATATCAGAAATATTTCCCAGGCTTGGAATAAACATTTTCAGAAAGTTTGAGTTCCGTGATAGTTGTGAAGGGTATCATATGGTCGGCCCCGTCCGACTGAAGGGAATCTGAACAAGTATAGGAGGGCTGTACTGAATACTAGTAATATTCGGGAAGTATTTCAGTGTAGGGAAGAGGTGCTGTAGACCTCTAATCGAGCAAGAGGCTGCAAATATCAGAAATATTTCCCAGGCTCGGAATAAACATCTTCAGAAACTTTGAGTTCCGTGCTAGTTGTGTAGGGCATCGCATGGTCGGCCCGTCCGACAATACTGCTCCATTCACTGGTTTTCAAATCACTCTAAGTAGAATAACTTTTGTAAGAATCTATGTGGATAACCTTTTATATCTGACCTAGCAGCAATTCTATAGAGTATGATTGAAATTTCAATAAGTTTCTTTAAACAAACTCACCCGAAACACCTTAATCGGTTCGAAGTTCATTTATTTGTAGATATTCGACTCTAGTAGGCCCCAAACCCGCCTCTGATTCTTTCCAATATCCAATTAGGCTCTAGAAGATAAATAAATTTATTCGTTGGTTCTTTGTGGGGTCTTTTGGGATCTTGGATTTTCTATATCAAGACCTGATTATTGACGACACATAACACAAGAAAAATTTAAAAAAAAAATCAAATTGTTGCTAAATTTATGAGATTTTTTATATAGAGAAAAGGAAAAAAATGTGTACAGTACTAATTTGTGTATACAGTCCAAATTACTTAAATCGCTTCGTATTCGAAATGTACGAATTCTGCCATCAGAATTATTTATGATTCTTGTATAGAGAATAATTCAAAATTATTTTTTCGTCGATTTTGCATTTGGTTTTCTTGATATTGGGCTTTTATTTTTCAGAAAGTATGTACTGTATCTCCCGAATGCAAGGATGTAGCGATGTCAAATGTTGTACATATCCTATCTAGGATAGTTGCATTAAATCTGTAAACCGAAACTTTTTCAATGATTACGAAAAAAATTGGGGCTCAAAGGCTTAATTAATTACATTCTATTTGATTTATACGAGTACATTGACCTTACATATACATGTACATACAAATGTATATCTATACATAGATCCCCATAAAACAATTAATTAAATGACTTCAGATAAGTGCCAAAATTTTGTAATCTGATGTCTTGCAGATAGATTCTTGTCAAATATTGCTCTTTTTGATCGATTTATTGCCAACAAAATTGAAGAAAACAAGCCCCGAACAATGATCTCCAGCGCGGAAAACAAAGAATCCGAATTTTTAAGTAGATGCTGTGTGAAGTTGATGTGAAACAAAAACAATTTATTTTTATAAACAAACAAAAATAAATTTAATTGAAGGCAACCAACGAAAGTAAAACAACAAATTTGTTGTTGTTGTTGTGTTGTTATTGAAAGATTTATTTGAATGTTTTACTATAAAAAATGTTATGACGTAGTACTCTTTAATGAATTAAAATTTAGTTTGATACAATTTTCAATTTCATGTAGAGGATTTCGGATTTTAAGATTACAAAATACTAAAATATTGATTTCAGAATTTAAATATGCCCCTTTAGAATAATAGAGAGCGAGTGTTAGTTGAACATATTCCGTATAATACATATATTGTATTCGACATAGTAGAATGTTCATTTATATCGTGAGAACTTGTAGCACGTGGCGTATCACTCGAATACATATACATATGGGAATTGTATTGTGTCAACACTTTTAATTGCAACCTAAATAATAAATATGTATAAAATACTAAAGTTATCGTTGTATTTGGTTCCTATGGTTCCTTCACCAAAGTTGCTTAGAATTGTCCATAGAATCATCCTAGGGGCTGGATTTAATATATATATATAGTGTAAAACCCTCTCTCGAAGTGCTGATCACAATGGGCCACCGAATATCTTGAGAGTTAGCATGTTGTAACTTATTTTCCTTGGGTCATGTGTAAGATTAGGTCTACTGGAACAGACCAACGTCGATTCAATATACATATCAGATATAGAATTTGTGAGGCTACCGAGGGCATATGACAGATTATGCCAAATATCATGAAAATGTTAGCTACACACCTTTCTCTTTATTATAAAATAAAAATCTGATAATTTATCAAAAGTCGAGTACACTATTTGAAAACCCAAACCATACAGAAACTTAGGGACCCGGATCTCTTTCTCGCAAATAAATGTTGTAAATTTATACGAAATTAATTACACAGATGTATGTTTTTCAGTCTTTGAGGACCCGATCTGAAATCATATAAGCGACATTTTTCCAGAATATTGGAAGTCAAGAATGTCAGCTTGTGGTATTTAGTTTTCGATTCAGGAAAGTAAGTAAGAAAAAGACGCACAAAAACTATATATGTAGGGAGAATATATTTTACAAAAATATTCCTCATAAGTAGACCTCGGATTTTTGCATATTTTTTATGCTTTATCCGATTGGACTCAAATTTTGTATTTAGGCGTTTCATGCTTTAATTGATCGATATTTGGGGTCATGTCAAAAATATGCAAAAAATATGCAAAAAATATGCAAAATATATGCAAAAAATATGCAAAAATATGCAAAAAATATGCAAAATATGAAAAAAATATGCAAAATATGCAAAAAATATGCACGGTATGCTAGGTCGATATGCGATAAATATATGCAAAAAATATACAAAATATGCATTGTCGATATGCAAAATATGCAAAAATATGCAAAATATGCAAAAATATGAAAAATATGCAAAAATGTGCAAAATATGCAAAAATATGCAAAATATGCAAAAATGTGCAAAATATGCAAAAATATGCAAAATATGCACAATATATGCAAAATATGCAAAATATGCAAAAATATGCAAAAATATGCAAAAATATGCAAAATATGCAAACATATGCAAAAATATGCAAAATATGCAAAATATGCAAAAATATGCAAAATATGCAAAATATATGCAAAATATATGCAAAATATGCAAAAATATGCAAAATATGCAAAAATATGAAAAATATGCAAAAATGTGCAAAATATGCAAAAATATGCAAAATATGCACAATATATGCAAAATATGCAAAATATGCAAAAATATGCAAAAATATGCAAAATATATGCAAAATATGCAAACATATGCAAAAATATGCAAAAATATGCAAAAATATGCAAAATATGCAAAAATATGCAAAATATATGCAAAATATATGCAAAATATGCAAAATATGCAAAAATATGCAAAATATATGCAAACATATGCAAAATATATGCAAAATATGCAAACATATGCAAAATATGCAAAAATATGCAAAATATACAAAATATATGCAAAATATGCAAACATATGCAAAATATATGCAAAATATGCAAACATATGCAAAATATGCAAAATATATGCAAAATATGCAAACATATGCAAAATATGCAAAAATATGCAAAATATATGCAAAATATATGCAAAATATGCAAACATATGCAAAAAATGCAAAAATATGCAAAATATATGCAAAATATGCAAAAATATGCAAAAATGTGCAAAATATGCAAAAATATGCAAAATATGCAAAAATATGCAAAATATATGCAAAATATGCAAACATATGCAAAATATGCAAAAATATGCAAAATATATGCAAAATATGCAAACATATGCAATAAATGCAAAAATATGCAAAATATGCAAACAAATGCAAAATATGCAAAAATATGCATATTTTGCATATTTTTGCATATTTTTGCATATTTATTGCATATTGACCTAGCATACCGTGCATATTTTTTGCATATTTTTGCATATATTTTGCATATTTTTGCATATTTTATGCATATATTTTGCATATTTATTGCATATCGACCTAGCATATATTGCATATTTTTTGCATATTTTGCATATTTTTTGCATATTTTTTTTCATATCTCGTGCATACGCAAAATATGCAAAAAATTAAAAAATATGAACCCTTCAAATAATTCTAAATCCTTTGAAACGAATTTGTGTCCAATCAGAATTTCGATATCTTCATTATTAAAAAATATGCAAATATGCAAAATCCGAGGTCTACTCATAAGACCTGACCGAAGGCATATTATCTCAAAAATAACCTCTAATAGTCCCAAACAAAGATATAAAAAAATTTGCTTCATGAGCTCTAGAGTTACAAGCAAAAAATCATCACGCCAGAACTTAAAAATTTGTCCCATGGCCAATTTGACTTTCTGGGTTCTTAATTTACTAGCCAAGGGTTTCCATCCCCATAATAAATTGGTCCATAAAAATGGATTGTGGTGTTTTTTTATAAATAATATAATAAAATAGATACCTTCATTATTTTTTATTATTAATACTAAATTGCCTGTCGTCTGGATGGACATAAGTAGTCCATCAGTACAGTCGGAAATGGCCGACCATATGAAACTGTATACAACTACCCCTGAACTTTAACTTTCTGCGGATATATATTCCGGGCCTGGGTAATATTACGTTGGGAAAAAAGAAATCCAAGCAGGTTGGTAGTCGAAAATTTCGAAAAATCGGGGAAATGATCAAAGATGACCGGCATGTTAGTAGTCGTAACATTGCACTGGAGCTAAAAATCGACCATAAAACTGTTTTAAACCATTTAAACAAAGCTGAATTAAAAAAGAAGCTCGAAGTTGGGGTGCCACACCAATGGATCAAATTTCCATCTGCGAAGACTTGGCCAAACGGAATGAGATATACCCATTTCTTAAACGGATGGTGACTGGAGATGAGAAATTGATCACATACGATAACCCTGTGCGAAAACGATAGTGGTCAAAGAGCGGCGAAATATCTCAAACGATGGCCAAACCAGGACTAACGGTGAGGAAGGTTCTGCTATGCATTTGGTGGGACTGGAAGGGGATTATTTATTATGAGTTGCTTCTATATGGCCAAACGCTAAATTCCGATCTCTACTGTAAACAACTGGACTGTTTGAAGATGGCAATTGACCAGAAACCGGACTTGGAGCAAGCGATTATCATCTTTTTCTTGCATTGCAAAATTTCTTTAATGATAAAAAGTGGTATCTAGGGAGGATTGTGAAAATCGACTACTAGAGTTTGTTTTCCAAATAAAGAGTAGGACTTCTATGAGAAAGGCATTATGAATTTAACTTTAAAATGGCAAAAAATCATACAACAAAACGGTCCATATTTCCGAAGCATGTTAAATAAAGTCCTACAGTTCATATAAAAATAATGGATTTCTGTGTTGTATTAGTTCGGCTGTAGGCTTTTTAAAAGTAAAAATCGTTTCTAATTTTGATTTTTAATGTTTATTGTATCCAATATTTCGATTGGATTCTCCAATCATCCTCAGGGAACTACAATTACATATATTTTAACAGATTTTGAAACAACAATAACAATATGTAAATAAACTTACTTGATGAAAGTTATGTTGTCTTTAAGTCAACGTTCTTACTTCAACTAAAGTCTACCAGATTTGCATTTGTTTACTGTGTGTCTATAGATTTGAGCGCAGTTGTCTGTGTCGGTTTTATAATTGAGTCGAGTGTCAAGTGGAGTGTTGATTATGTGCAACATCTCAAGAGTAAACCTTTTTTGATAATTACTTTCTTGAGTTAGAATTTTTATGTCATTAAAATCTGGGGTATGTCCTGTTTTTGTGCAGTGTGCTGCAAGGGCTGTTTTTTGCTCTATGGGTTTGTACAGAGCTTTTTGATCCGATTTATGTGCGGATATTCTTGTCTTTAATTTTGTCTTAGTAGTGCCAACATATACCTTTTGGCATACGTTGGACTTGTCTCCCTTACATTTAATGCGGTATACTACGTTGGATTTCTCCTCGTCTTGTATTTTACTTTTTAATTTGCTGAAAAGATTATTCAGCGTGTTTGTAGTTTTAAATGCCAGCTCAAATTTTGTGTTGTCGTAAATGTTAGAATGTTTTAATCTTTCTGAAAACCCACGTGTATATGTCATAGTTTTGTAAATTTTCTCGCTGTTGTCGCTTGTTTTCTTTGTCTTTTCTTTTCTTGCTCTTCTCGGATGTCTAGATGTAAAGTTAATCAGTCGTCCCGACGCTGTAGGTTTCTGGTACCAGTCAAGTTTGAGATGGGGTCCTTTTCGTATCACTAGTGAATCCAGGTATGGCAATTGGTTGTTGCTTTCAAGTTCCATAGTAAATTGTATTTGAGAGTTGAATGAGTTCAAGATGTCCAAATTATCCTTTATTTCGTCTTTTTTCATGACTGTAAAAATGTCGTCCACATATTTGGTCAAAATCTTTGGTTTTGTGTACATTCTCTGAATTGATGAGTCCAGCAATTTCTCCATAACTATGTCAGCTATGACAGGGGTGGCTGGAGAGCCCATAGGCATACCTTTATTTTGTTTAAATATTTTGTCGTCATATATGAAATATCTTGTGTCCTTTATACATAGCGTCAGAATTTCCATGACCAATTCTTTTGTCATAGATGTATATGTTTTAATTGTATCCCACTTATCTTCTATGGTGTTGAGAGCAAAATTTACTGGTATGCTAGGGAAAAGTGATACAACGTCAAATGAAATTAAGATTTCGTCGGGGTTGATCTTTATGTGTTCAATTCTTGTTTTAAAATCTTTTGCGTCTTTTACGTTATATTGCGAATTCTTTGTCAGGTTCTTCAATATGTTGACCATATATTTACAAAGATGGATTTCTTTTTCTCCAACCTTTCGGCAATATATGTGCACCCTCTTGATCGAATAGAGGTCAAAAGCTCCTCTTTCTTTCGTTATTTAGTAATTCTAATTATTTGAACAGATCCCCTTCTCCGTATAAAATTTTGTGATGTTCGAGATATAATTGTGGTCTCTAGAGCGATCAGAAAAACAGACAAAAATAACATGTTTGGTTTATATCATTCTCCAATATTTCCTGCCATTCAAACTCTTTTTTCGAATATTCAGTACAGTCCTTCTAATTACTTGTCCAAATTACCTTCACGGTGGGTTGTCTTGTGATTTTCGGATTATACTCGACTCGAAAACACAAAAAAATTAAGTTTTCGGTCCATTTCATCCCAAAATTTTAATCTGATCATCACCGATCAGATTGACCATAACTGGAACTTCATGAAAAATTTCAAAGCCATCAGCTCGATATTTCCCCCTCTAATGTGGTAATGGGTTACTAAATAATATCTGAATACGTAAGCACCTGTAAATATTTGACTGTAACTCCCACATCTGAGTAGATACATCACTATATTTGGTATCAATTTAAAGGCCAACCAATCCTCTTGGATATGCTATCAACTCCTGGGGTCTACATCCTCCAGGAGTAAATATATATGCCATAGAATACAAATTTTGTCATTTTTCACACAAAAGTCAGGGTCCATTTGACCCGCTAAATATTGACCGATCTTTATCAAAATATGCATGCTTATTCTCTGGCCAGTTCCCCTTCTCCATGCAAAAATTTGCGGTGTTTGGGCCATAATTGCGGCCTCTGGAGCGACCAGAAAAACCGACAAAAATAATGTTTTTGGTCCATTTCATCCCCTAAATATTAACCGATCTTTTCCAAAAACAATAGGAGCCTTCATTGGCAAGAACCCATCCTACATGAACAATTTCGTGAAGATTGGTCCATAACTGTGGCCTGTATCGGGTTTACAAATTATAATGGACAGACGGACGGACGGATACACATGTCTAGATCGACTCAGCTAGTCGAGATATGACGATCGGTATACTTAAAGGTGGGTCTAGGACCAATATTTCGCGGCGTTACAAACATTTGGGGCTGCACAAAGCTATAATACCCTGACAACATAGTTGTGTAGGGTATAAAAATAAAATTTTCTGTTTTTAATTCTAGGTCTCATAATAACTGTCATTTGCATGATAATAGTGCTGTTCATCTATTTACTCTGCACCGAGATGAGAAATACATTTTACGGAGTTGCCATAAAAACCTACACCCTGTGTATTATAATTGGATATTCGCTATTGGCCCACTTGACTTTAACCAATCCGGCGGATATGTCCAAATATGCATGTACCAAAATTCGTAAGTTTTCCAATAGAATAATCCATCTTCTTTATAAATATATTTAATTTGTGCATTTTCAATTTCAGCTATATTCGCCATGCTCTATTTAATTTTATCATTTTATATTTTGACTTTTATAAGTTTTAATTTCTATTTGAGTTTCTTTGGCATTTTGCTGAGTAAACTGATGTTTTGGTTTATGTTCTTTCCAACGGTTTTGATTGCCGCCTGTTGGTCCTTCTTTGTCAGCTACAGCAGTTATAATAATAGACCGATGTTTGGTGGGGATATTTGTTGGTTTGATCGTAAGTATATAACAGATATATGATATGATTTGAAAGTAATATTGTTATTTTTTTCATAATTTTTCCAGCCCGCAATTATTCTATTGTTGTCTATTTTTATGCTCCCATTATAGTTGCCTATATTTTCAGTGGAATATTTTATATTTTATCTCTGGTAAGGATTGGTGAAATGACTAATGGCGATTCAAGTAAAATGTCAATATTTACCACGCATAATCGGTAAGTATGCTTTTTAAGAACGATTGGTTCAGAGCACGAAGGAAACATTAACATTTTCATAAATCGGTCGGGAAATACATGTCTTTGTAAATAGGGCTGGGAATTTTAAAAGTCATTTTATAAGTGAAATGTAGAGCGAGAAATGGTGCTTGAACTTAATATAGGAACTATGGCAAAAAATTCTGCGGACATAATTTTTCACCCTCAGGAACCGCAATGCTAAACTATAGCAATTTCGGTTGAAAAATGTGTGCAAAATCACAAAAATGAAGCTTCATTGAAAATATACTGCTAAGAAGTTATTTAGGCACAAGAAATCTGAATGTCAAATACCTATATTAGACCAGGACCTGTATATGGATGCTATGTCTAATATTTCTCAAACAAATAGTTTTAAATACATCAAATTGTGGAATAATTTTTGAATTATCCATGACTATTATTTATAAATAATTCGAGACTATATGGGCTTACCGAAAAGGTTTTTATTAAAAAATTCAGGACAGAGCAAAAAATATGCAAAATACTATGGAAATAATCAATTTATTTTTAAACCAGTGAGCGGAGCAGTATGATACCCTACACAAGTTCCAGGAAAATATAACTTTCTGTGTTTCTATATTCTGAGCTTGGGCAACATTTCGTGATATTTGCACCCTCTTGCCCGACTAGAGGTCAACAAATATTAGTAATATTCAGTACAGCCCTTCTAATTACATGTCCAGATACCTTTCACCTTGAGTTGTGTTGCGATATTCGGCTCTCAATTGGGCCTATAGATCGACTCGAAAAACACAAAAATTAAGTCTTCGTTCAACTTCATTCCAAAATTTGTATTTGATCATCACCGAAAATTATAGGCGTTGTCCTTGACCATAACTAGAACCTCAAGGAACATTTCAAAGCGATCTGCGATATATTTCCGCCTTCTAGTGTGGTACTTAATATATATGAATGCGTAAGCACTTGTAAATATTTAAGTGTAACTCCCACATCCGAGTACATACGACAATATATTTGGTATCAATCTAAAGGTCAATCACTTGGATATACTATCAACTTCTCGGGTCTATATCCTTCAGGACTATATATATATATATATATTCCATAGAATACAAATTGTTTCATTTTTCACACAAAAGTCAGGGTCCATTTGACCCGCTAAATATTGACCGATCTTTATCAAAACAGGCATGCTTTTTCGTTGGCCCGATCCCCTTCTCCATGTAAAATTTAATGATGTTCGGGCAATAATTGCGGCCTCTGGAGGGAGCGACAACAATCAGTGTCCCAGCTGTATCGGTTCACCTAAATCCAAATTGTACCAAATTTAGTACACATTCGTAAAAATTTCCAAAACTTCCTACGTATCCCAAAAGTGATCCCAACTCCAAATTTAAGGATGCCATTTCTTTTGGCTCATCCAAAATTCAAATTGTACCAAATTTAGTACACAAAAGTACGTATTAACCAAACTACCAACATACCTCAATTCTACAGTGCAGTAGTAATCTTATTTCCAAATTGCATTGTTCCTGATCTATCGATTCACTCAAATCCAAATTTTATTAAATATAGTACCATTTAGTACCTTCCGTACACATATCTACAAATTTCCAAAACTACCTACATATCGCTATCCTATACTCCGGCGGTAATGTTAATGTTAAATGTAAGGACTCCAGTTCCATCCATTCCATGACAAAGCCTAGGATTTGTTTTGGGTCTATTTTGGAGAAGAAGATTAGATTATCAATTTCATATCTTCCAAACTGTTTATGTCTTCTGCTAATCAGCGATGGACATTTACAGAGGATGTGTTCAATTGTTTCCAGTTCTTCTTCGTCCTCACATAGACGACAGTAATCCTCTCCACTGGAGTCCCACTTAGAAGTGAGAGATCTAATTTCGCAGTGACCTGTTATGATCCCCACAACGATTTTGATCTCCCTCTTATTGTGTGTCAACAGCGAAGACGTTCTTTTACGAGAGAATTCAGGCAAGATAGATTTTGAGATTCTGCAAGCAGGTTCCCTTGGCAATCTGTTACCAACTACCTCGCAATGGAACGCACGGATTTTGCCAATGAAATAGCCGATGGGAGGTTTCACAGATCTCTCAATCAGAAGATTGGACGACTGTGAGCACTGCGAGCAAGCTCGTCGGCTATCTCATTCCCTTCAATGTCACTATGTCCTGGAACCCAACATAAACCAACTATCTGTCGTATATCATTCAAAGCGGACTTACAATCATGAACTGCTTTCGAGTTTATAGTATGCGACTTCACCGCTTTCAGGGCCGCCTGATTATCGACATATATAGTCGCCGGTCCCGTAATGTCGGCATTAAGTGATTTTACTATCTCGGCCGCTTTCGTGATTGCAAGAATCTCTGCTTGAAAAACGCTACAGTTATTGTTGAGTTTATATGAGTTGTATATTCCTAATTCCCTACAGTAAATGCCTGCGCCAGTGCCTTCCTCCATCTGTAAAGATTGACAGACCTGGCAGAGGTAAGGAGCAACTAGTCCAGGATTCCCTACTAGGAAATTCAAATTTGATGTCATTAAAGTCCCTATGAGGGGTCATAACCCTGAAGAGGTCATAACCTGGCGTTATATTTCGGATGCTGGCATGACCATAGTTCAGCGATTTTAAGGCAGTCTCAGGGCACACCTGGCCGCCTGGAATTTAATCAGAATATCCAAAGGTTGGAGATTCAAAATTGCGTTCAAGGCTGCCTTTGGTGTACTGCTTAATGCTCCGGTAATTCTCAACCTTAATTCACATTCCAAATTTCAAGTTGTTAGCTCTAACTATTCACATGCTACGAAATTGTACCAAATTTAGTACATTTTAGTACTTTTCGTATACCTATAGTTCGAATGTCCAAAAAGCCCTTTGCTACACTCCATCAATGTATCTCAATCCAACATGCAGAGTTCTACTGCACCTGTTCTCCAAATACAAATGGTACCACATTTAGTACTTTTTAGTACTTTTCGTACCGTTCTAGTACGAATTTCCAAAATCACTGCCTGAATGAACCTCACACAAAATTTCAAAATTCTAGCTCCAGCCGTTTCGTCTGGACGTTGATGCATCGTTAAGTCAGTCAATCACTTTGCACTTTTATTAGTATAGATAATCCACGCTCATATTGACATCCAAGAATTATTTAAAAATAATCCACGCCCATAGAGGCCTCCACAAATTTATTTTTAAAAATTCCGCGCTCATATCGACATCCAAGAATTATTTTTAAATAATCCACGCCCATATTGGACTCCCCAATTTTTTTTAAATAACCCACGCCTACATAGTTCCCAAAAAATGATCATTAAATAATAATACGCCCGCTGTTAAAATTGTTTAAAAATGTACATTCTTATTTTTTAACAAGTTTAGTAAATTACGTTCTTCCTCTATTTCAGTTTCCAATCATTTTGGATATTTGTCGGCTATACTCTGTTCGCCTGGCTAGTTTGCATTTGCTCATTCGTAATTAATTACTATCGCGGCGAGTACACGCATATTAACTATGTGGTATGTCTGTTTGTAGCATTTCATGGTTTTGGTACCATGTATGCGTTGCTCGGTAAAAATCATCAGATTCAACAATTTTTGCGTCGCATTGATGACGATATGTAAGTAGAGTTTTAAATTGTTTTTAAATATAAATAATAATTATTCCTTTACTTTCAACACAGGGATAATGATGATATGGCCGAAATATCAGTTCCAATGACAACATATACTTAAAATGTTGATCTCTGGAGTCATTGTGTAGTTATAAAGTTGAAAATAAAAAACAAATGTGGTCGTTGTGTATTTGAATTAAATGGATAAACAAATTACAGAAGACAAATATATAAATAAAATGTAATATTTGTAATAGATCTGTGTTGTAATGAAATTTAAGAAAAAAAAACGTGGAATGAATTAAAAGTGACAAATATCAGTGGTCCATGGCAATGGACTTAACATGGAAGTGATATATGGTTTCCCCTAAATTTCGGTCCCTGTTCCAATTATAAATCCTTTGCTTTAATATTTTATCAACAAAATTTAAGAATTTGATTAACACTAGTCTTCTTTCGACGAGTTATCTGTATGTAATCATTTGTGTTACCATGTTTATATTCTAGACACAGGGTGATCCATTCGTCTAGTCAAGACTCAATATAATGTATTTACAACTGGATAGTCAAGACATACACCTTCACTCTATAGCAGCTACTAATCTATTACATTCGTATTAGCTACGACATACACTCAGCCAGACGCCATTAGCAATACTGAAAATTATTTTTTGATGCGGTAAAGGCAGTGAAAGAGTTTTTAAAAAAAACATACTCGTTAGAAAAGGAATTAAAAATTCAAATTATAAAAATTATAGAAATTATTTTTAAGTGACACATTATAGGAAATATTTGAAAGAAATACACTATGACATTTATTTAACCCAGTGAGAGGAGCAGTATAGTCGGACGGCGCCGACCGTACGATACCCTACACAACTCCCATAGAACTCTATCTTTCTGCGGATTTGTATTCCGAGCCTGGGTAACATTTCATGATAGTTCCACCCTCTTGTCCGATTAGAGGTCAACAGCACATCTTCCTTACACTGACATATTTTCGGAATATTATCAATATTCTTCTAATTACTTGTCCATTTTCCCTTCACCGTGGGTTGGGTTGTGATGTTCGGCTTATTATTGCAGCCTATACATTGAATCAGAAAAAAATACAAAAAAATAAGTTTTTGGTCCACTTCATCCCAAAATTATTATCTGATCATCTCCGAAAATTAAAGGCGTTGTCCTTGACCATAAGTGGAACCTCATGGAACATTTCAAAGCAATCAGCGCTATATTTCCGCCCTCTAGCGTGGCAATGGTTTATTAAATAATATCTGAATACGTAAGCACCTGTAAATATTTAAGTGTAACTCCCACATCCGAGTACATACGACAAAATAATTGGTATCAATTTAAAGGCCAACCACTCCTCTTGGATATACTATCAACTTTTCGGGTATATATCCTTTAGGAGTAAACATATACGCCATAGAATACAAATTTGGTCATTTTTCACACAAAAGTCAGGGTCCATTTGACCCGCTAAATATTGACCGATTTTTATAAAAACAGGCATGCTTATTCTTTGGCCCAATCCCTTCTCCATGTATGGGCCATAATTGCGGCCTCTACAGCGACCAGAAAAACCGAAAAAATTTAAGTATTAGGTCCATTTCATCCCCTAAATATTAACCGATCTTTACCAAAAACAATAGGGGTCTTCATTGGGCCGAACCCATCCTACATGCAAAATTTCGTGAAGATTGATCCATAACTGTGGCCTGTATCGTGTTTACAAATTATAATGGACAGACGGACGGACGGACACACATGTCTAGATCGACTCAGCTAGTCGAGATATGACGATCGGTATACTTAAAGGTGGATCTAGGACCAATATTTCGCGGCGTTACAAACTCTTGGGGCTGCACAAAGCTATAATACATTTTGACATAGTTGTGTAGGGTATAAAAATCTTTCCTTAAAATATATATTTTTCTTATAAATCCCTGAGGGATAAAAAGTATTTTTAAAACAATGATGCAACACAGAAATACAGTCGGACGGAGCCGACCACGATATTTGCACCCTCTAATATGATCATGATAATTCTAAGCAACAATTATAAATATGTGGACCAACATATTTAGTATTTCTCCCATAGCCGACCCCGTTCATCAATAGAATTGATATTAGACTTAAGGTCATCAGATCCTCTTTCTTAGACTGCTAACTTTTGTATTTTTCACATAAAAGTCTTGATCCATTTGAACCGCTAAATATTGACCGAAAACTACATCTCAGCGGAAATTTTTTGATGATGATAACAGTGAGAGACAAAATCGAGGTCATGGCCTTTGGTGAGTTTATGCAATCCCCAGTAGGAAAACATCGCCGTAGGTGAAAGTTCGAAGATATGTTTGCTGGGACCCTATTATACATGAAGAGAGTGATTCATATCTAGCTATTGAATGTATTTACATAGATTAAATTTCTGCAGTAAAATCGAATGAGAAATCTTTCTGTAGAACATTTTGTCCTTCTAACTCGATCCCTTGTATGTCCTTTTCGTCCTTATATTTTTGAACCGGATTGTACTTGTCAGAAGATGCGGTTTTTCCTAATATTCTACAAAAATGTTGTTCATAAGATTTTCGGAGGGGTCCTCAAAGACGAGAATGGTTTTTCTCGATTTTAATCGTGGATGTTCAGATAATAGATACGGTTTTAAGGGGACCCCCCCCCCAATTCTCGGGGTAATTTTTTTTTTTTTATTTTTACACGTTTCTCTGTGTGTGTATAGCTATCGTATTAACTAGGATAAAGCCAATCGGTGAAGATCTTCCTTTATTTTTAACTTGGTTTTTGGTCAAAATTCGGCGATTTTTCAAAAATATTTTTTTAAAGGTCCGCCATTTTGTTAATTTTAGAGCGAAGTCAATAATCCTAGTTTATACGAGAGCCAGACATGTACTGTTTCTAACACCGTTGGAATTTTCGGATTCCGATGATCCAGTGAGGAGTTATCATGCCCGCCATAAAAAAAGGACTTTTCTCTAATTACAAAAAAAAAAAAAAAAAACAACAACAAAACAATAACAAATTTTTTTTGTAAATTATTTTTCTTCTCTTTTAAATCTTCAAATATATATGTGCAAAGTTACAAGCATTGGTATTGATTTCCCAGCCCATTGAATATCTTGAAAAATTAAAATCGAGAATGGGTGGGTTTCCCTTAATATATTATCATTATAAAGCTAATAAACATACACGCTAAAATCGTCTATTATCGCCCCGAATAGGAGATTTGAACCTCCCAAAATCTTGTAGCTCAGTGTAATTGTGGCCACTAGAGCGACTAGAAAACACACAAATACAGTTGTCATATCCTAAATATCATCTGATCACTAAGTGTCTTCCTTGAAAATAACCGAAACTTCATGTAAAATATAACTCCCACATCGTTATCGTAAGAAATTGACCAATATTGATAATTTTTGATCAGATGATGTGTCACCCAATGAAAAATCAACATACCAAAAATCACGTAATGTTATATGGGAGATATCCTAAAAGTGGACCCATACCAATACAAAATATCCTAGGAGTACTAGTAATGTCTGTGCAAAATTTCAATACTCTATCTTAAATATTACAAGCTCTCGTGATCGTGATTGACAGAAATGCACAAATGACATAGAATTTTATTCTGATTAAGAATATGTACTTTATGGGGACTCCGTTGAATATTACGAGGTGTTGACAATTTTAATATACATTTCAATTTAATACTTCCTGTTCATTGCAAAATATATAATAACCTTAGTCCTTGACAAAATATGTATTACAAAAAAGCCCTCAATTATAGCTAGAACTCAAGCCAAGGCTCGTTAAAAACCCCACTCTTGTAATAACCATGCATAAACCGTGTTTGAAATATTTAAGCTTATAGTTCAACTGGTCCTTAAATAAATATATATTTTTTTAAAATACACACAAAGTCAGATTTAACATTAATTGCGTATTTATCTCAACTGATATTTGCAAAAATTGTCTTTACAGAACCCACTCTCATTACTACATTCGTCATTTTCCTCGTTAATTTTTTTCCTAAATATCTTAATGCAGATTTGGTAAATTCGCTGCATTATCTTAAACCATATTAAAAAGTAATGACATCAGCAGGATATCTTGTTTATGTCATAAACCAATATTTACCAATATCCTTTGATAATTTAAAAACAAGAGTCTGAAAAAAACATTTACCAGTTGCCATTTAATTTTATGAGATTGTTTACCTTTCTGAAAGATAGAGAGAGAGAGAGGAGAAAAAACGCTGATATTCCTTTGTAAAATTTTTGTCATAACTCTTTAGAAACTACAATTATACAAATATTTGTTGAAACTTAAGTACAAGGATAAGGATACTCGTCCTCATCCATACACAATTTACCAACAACAACAACAAGTACAGCAATATGGGCAACGTAAAAGAATGAAAAGTAGATGGGATCCCATTTACAAACAAATGCAAATTACTCATAAAAAAACTCCAAGGAAATATCGTAGTAGCAGTAGTAGGTTGCTTCTCGTATAGTATATACTATGTACTTGTAGTACATAGTATATATTTAACATTAATGTTGTTTGTATGTGCCTCAATGAGGCATAGTACATAACATGGCGTAATATTACGCAACAAAAAAAGTAAAATATTGTACGGTGAAACCCCACTTTCTGAGAGAGGTAGGGGACTTAGTTAGAATGGTTATGTGGGTACTTGGGTACTTAATGTTGGTCATCGAAAAACTTCCTTTTAAAAATCCACGCTTATAGGCCTGTTGGTCATCAAAAACTTTCCTTTTAAAAATCCACGCTTATAGGCCTGTTGGTCATCAAAAACTTTCCTTTTAAAAATCCACGATTATAGGCCTGTTGGTCATAAAAATCTTTCCTTTTAAAAATCCACGCTTCTAGGCCTGTTGGTCATCAAAAACTTTCCTTTTAAAAATCCACGCTTATAGACCTGTTGGTCCTCAAAAACTTTCCTTTTTAATATCCACGCTTATAGGCCTATTGGTCATAAAAAACTTTCCTTTTAAAAATCCACGATTTAGGTCTGTTGGTCATCAAAAACTTTCCTTTTAAAAATCCACGCTTATCGGCCTGTTGGTCATC